GAAAGACTGAACCCAAAGTGTGTAAAGAAGTCAGTGAAAGGTGGAGGAGGAAGTTGGGCCTCGTATACAGCTACATGGCAGAGTGAATGCAAATGTTGTAACTCAAAACATTGAAATAATGAAATGCCCAGCCCATAGTCCTGATCTAAACCAAATAGAAAACCTCTGGAAAATCCTTGGCGACAAAGTTATGGCCAAAAAAACCCCCCACTACAGTCACCGAACTGTGGAATAGACTGGAAGAAGAGTGGACCAGAATCACACCAGAGCAGTGTGAGAGACTAGTGATGTCTTGTGGTCATTCAAAGCAACGGCCTGTACACTTCCTACTAATTACTGACTGTTGTAACCTTCACAAAATGTTGTTGTGATCTTTCTTTGTGCTACAGTCATTGCTGTTCTTTAATTTTGATCATTGGTTTTCTGCAAAATAAAGGTTGTTTTGTTGAAGTGCCTTGGTTATTTTGTAAAACACTGTTCTAGTAGCATGGTATAGCCACAACAAAAATTCCTTCAAATGTTGAATGTTGAGATTACATTATTATAAGTGTTCATAAATTGTTCTTCAATTTTGATCTCTAGTGTATATGGTCTACACAGAATTGTTTAAACAGGAAATAATCTGCTCAGAAGTCATGCAAATCACTCAGCTGGTATTGAGTTTATTATTTGGGCTAATTGTACAGAGAATGGGTCCCTTAAGGGAAAAGGTTGGGAACCACTGCTCTAAAGCAAAACCGTGTGTTAAAAAAGGCTGATATAATATGACTCCTTTCAGCTGCAGTACTCAATAAACATATTGATTAGTTTAGCTATAGACAAGCCTGGCTCAGTGCCTTACCAAAGTCGGCGTGTTGCTCCAGTTGCTTTCATGTAAAGACGAACCTGGACCCTGTGAATGCAGACATACTGTACTCTCAGGGAGAACTGTATTAGTCAATAAAAGATCACAAAAACCTTTCAATTAGTGTGTTGTAGAGTGTGTGGTGTCTGATCTACTCAGTCATGTTTCTCTTTGTTGTTTAGACGGGGGAGTTGCGTACCAAGATGAGTCAGTCTCATGAGGATAGCCTGACCAGCGTAGCCTGGAATCCAGATGGCAAACGCTTTGTCACTGGCGGCCAGAGAGGCCAGTTCTACCAGTGTGTGAGTATCTTTTACAGCCCACACTCTGTGCTGTCAGTGCCCACAGGTTCTCAGCATTGCATACTGCGCATGCACACCAGACTCACTTGCATCAAACACATTCTATAAAGCCCAGCCCAGAGGCCTCATTTGTAAAACTTTGTTTACATTCTGTCCTAAAACACTGCATAATCCTAAACCACAGAATCTGCTTGAAAATATCTATAAAACCGCGAGAAAACCCATATCATTCCAAATTGATATTATTCATTTAAATGGAGTACTTCAATCGAGTGTCGGGATAGATATATGATATATGAACAAAAATAGAAATAGATGTTTAATAGTTGAATTGTTTCTGCTTTTCTGCACTGAGAGTATGACATAAAAATGAAACCTTCTTAAAGCCCCTGGACGAAAAACATTGTAGTGTTTAGGGTTTTCCTGAATGCACATTGTTCCCTCCTGACTTCCAGGACTTGGATGGAAACCTGCTGGACTCATGGGAAGGAGTTCGGGTCCAGTGCCTGTGGTGTCTGAGTGACGGCCGGACCGTCCTCGCATCAGACACCCACCAACGCATCCGTGGATACAATTTTGAGGACCTGACGGACAGAAACATGTAAGTCACCACCCCGACTGGGCTAAGGATCCATAGAATCATCTCTTCCTGATCGCTATGTAGAGAGGGCACCCAATGCAACCAGAGCTAAATGTGTCAGACAGGGATGAAGGTACAGCAGTGGTTTCTATTCAGTTTGGCTTGGGACCCATTAATCATCACAGAAATCAAATCAGACATGGTGTTGTATGTGTATGTTGATGTATACAATGTTAATATTATAATATTATATAATTGCAATGAGTGAACTACATAACGTGTTATCATGCATAAAGCATTCAGCAGCAGAACAAGAGTAGAGTTTTCACAAGAGTAGGTAACACTGAAAGCTTCAGTTGACATTACACAAACTATAAACTGGGCGGCTGTGGCTCAGAGGCAGAGCGGGTCGTCCCCCGATCGGAAGGTTGGTTCGATCCCCGGCTCCTCCTGCCACATGTCGAAGTATCCTTGAGCAAAATACTAAACCCCAAATTGCTCCCGATGCACAGCATTGGTGTGGTTTGATTGTTGTAGTATGGGGTTAGTTTTTTTTGCTGTTGAATGGACTTTGCCAATGCAACTGTGTTTTAATCGTGTGGTGAAAGGGTGACAAACAATGTGGCAGTTCAGTGGTAAAGAAGCGCCTTTGAAGTGGTTCGGAAAAGAACTCAGAAAGGCTAACAGCAAGTGCAGGTCCAATTTTAAACGCATTTACCATTAAGAGTTACATCGATTTTAGAACATTTTCGAGCTTTTTACAACGACGGCAAATTATGGAAAGAGAACTTTAAGACTCAAAAATGTTCCCCACACCTACAAAGGGAAAATCTGTATAAAAATAAAAGGTTTTTACCCAAAAACCCTTTTAACACCAAACTGTCATACCAACCATGTTCTGATTAACTTTCCATTTAACGCGCCAGAATAACATTTCCGACATTTCTTAAGGCCGCTAAAAATACAGAATTATTAGCTTTTTAGATTAAAAGAACTTTTGTAACGGCCACCCTCTTCCCAAAAGTCATGTGTCTTAATCCTTGCTGGCAAAGTTTACAACAAGGAGTCCATGGCGGAGAAGGAAGAATGTCCAAAGGTTGCCCGGCCAAAACCGCACTGTAAAAGCTGTCTACTCTGTTTTGCTACCCTGTTAATTTCACACTCAGAGAAAAATAAAAGACAGCTGTTGTTCGAATTGCTAAGAACCTTTGTGTACGGCCTGAAGCTTACTTTTTTGCCCCGACTAGAGAAACTGGGTGAATCA